TATGTAAAGGTACAATTCCCAATGAGAAATGTAATTGTGTTGTATACCTACAATGTACCAATAAAAGAATTTAATTAAAAAAAATTCAGTCATAAGGAAATAATATGCTTTTAATGCAGTGTCATCAGATGTCAAATAATTTACATATGTTAATATAATTATCTAAAAATAAAGAGATACTAATATTTTGATTTGGTCAAAGAAGTTACTTTATGCTTTTTATTATTAATCATTAGTTCAATTAATTAATAATAATAATTATTATTGTGGTTTTTTGAGACAGGGTCTTGCTTTGTAGTTCAGGCTGGCCCTGAACTTACTTCGTAGCCCAGGCTGATGTTATACTCCTGGTGATCCTCCTGCCTCAGCCTCCTGAGTGCTGGGATTACAGGTTTACATCACTATGTCTGGCCGACTAATTTGTTTTAAATAGGCACTATCTATTTAAATTTTAAAGTTAGAGATTCTCAAAGCCTTCTCCTTACAATTGTGGCTATCAGACTTCTCCTACATTTTTCAATAGAATATATTTCTCTTTTTGCAGCTAGAGTTCCTTATGTTTCATGTGGATATCCCTAAAAGTCAAACTCTACGTGTGAAAATTTTACAATAAAAAATTACTGGTAGAGAAATGTTTATCTTGAAAAAGAGAACATGGGATTGAGACTAAGTGTGTAGTTTGTTTGAAATGCAAGTCTTGGTTACATGAGGATACGGGCAATTTATTTTCAGTATATGAGTAAATGTCTAAACTTTTTCTCTCTTCCAATGCCTGCTAATATTTTTCCCTATTTAAAAGTCATGAAGTCTTTTAAAAATTTGCTTATCCTTAACATCCATTATATTTTTATCTTACCTTATAGGAAGTGCCCATTAAATATTAATAAAGGATAACCCTATATATTAAATTACCAGAAGAATAAAATATTTATACCTTCATTTATCTCACATGTATAACACCTACTAAAAGGAATTTTTTAAAATACTGAAATTTTTATAAAGGGGAATTACTCATAATCCCATCATCCAAAAATATCTTTTATTTTGTTTTGCTTTTGGCAAATGTGAGTATAATTGTGTGTGTGTGTGGGGGGCAGATGAATGAAATAAATTCTCTGATTCTCTGAGTTCATATGTTTAGGTAGGGAAGGTGATATACTTACATGTTTTTTACTTTCTTTTTTATATTTGGAAACATACACATTCTTTAGTATATCACTAGATTTAATTCTATCATGCCTTTTACTACCTGCGTAGTGTTTTAAATGCATCGTGATTCATTTAGCCACTCAGCTATTATTGAACAGCGATCATTTAGGATGAGTAGAATGATCAGACGTAGCATGTTTATAGATCACCAAATCCAACTGTAGTATATAGAAGGTACAAGAGCGTTGATGTATATTATCTTAATTCATAGATCAGTTGATGTTTCAGGAATGGTGAGAAATAGAGTATAAATTTTCAAAACTCCACAGAATCAAATCAAGTGCCACTCCTCTCATTACCAGTCTCTGTACTTCTGGCTGCCTCAATATCATGTTCAATAAATACCATGAAGCCTTCTGATTTGAGAATTTCCCCTGAGAAAGACAAAGACATGTTCTGCTCCACGTTATGAATGAAATCAATAGGCCCCTTCTGAGAGGGGACAAATTTCAGCGTGAAATTGTACAAATATGTTTTGTGGACTTAATGTCCATGTTTCACATATTTCTTCATGTATATTTATTCTCTGCTACATTGTATACTTCTGTAATTGGGTTTTCTTTTCATCATTTTGGACACTAATACCTGTTCCTACATTTTTTCAACATAGTGACATATCACTTTCCAAAACCCCAGGCCTATAAACACATAAACAGTATTAACCATTATGGATTTAGTTCAGAACCATAAAAACATTTCAAGAAACAGAAAATCTATAGCTGAATAATTAGTAGTTATAAATTGTGAAAGGTCTCTTTCTTAGATAGGTTTCACATACTCTTTATGACTAGTCAATATCACTAATGAGGCCAATGTTGCCCTTCCTGTTTTCCTAGATACAATCTACTAAGGAAACATGTCATTAGATTATGATCAACTTAAACGAGAACTAAATTTTAAAATATTTTAATATTTTTCCTTTTATATACATCATTCCAATTAATCATAGATACTAAGTCTAATTCTACTTTAATGACTACATAATGAAATCAAAGAATGATGTTTATGTTTGGAAAAGTCATACTTCTAAGTAGGATAATTTTCCTTAAATAATATTATTTAAGCTACTAACATGATTATTTTATAAAATAGCATAAATGTAGATTCCTTGGACAATAGATGTTTGAATAGATAAAGTCAAACTAAACATCTATGTGCATTCAGGGGCAGAGAGATGGATCAAAAGGAACCACTCATAAAGATACAATTGTTTTAAAATACACTTAGGTGAAATCTTAAACATTATTGTGGAAAGAGAGCCTATGCATTAACTATTACCTTCAGCTTTTTAATCGCTTCTTTATAAACCTCAAAGACATGACATATTCTTAGATCACTCAAACGATCCACATTCACAATTTCACCTCCTCCCTCTGACCTCTTCTCAAGTGTGGGTTACACTCTGACTGCCTATGAACAGGAAACCTGGTGCAGTCTTTATGCATGGCAGACATTTTCACAGTGTCACGGGAGTGCAATTCCCACAGTTCGATCACATTTTCATTAATGGTATGGAATACATAGTCAATATAGTCTGCTAAAATATGCACACGAGAACTGCACATTTCCCTAGACCTACACAATGTACAAATTCAGGATAGTGTGTTTGAAACATTATGAAGACTCCAATGAAAGTTGCAAATTTCCACTCTTTATACACACGAAATTTAAAAGATGCAGATACCTATATAAGTAGATCTGACCTCGACACACACAGTTCTCCCACAGAGAAAACCCAGTCCCCTAGTTGGATCATGGGTACCTGTGAACTTCTCTGTCCCCTTTCCTGCCATGTCCCTTGGCCCAGTGCACTGCAGGGAGATTCAGTCTGTACAAGAACAGTGCCCCCACTGCCAGTGGGAGGACAACCCAGCATAGCTTCTGCCTCAGTTTCTCCCCGGGTGCTGCCGCTCCCTCTGTGCATCAGAAGCAGAAAATACCAGCAAAGGCGGGAAGCTTCAGAGACACACGTGATTTCAGTAAGGGTGTGGAGGGCAGTCACCATATTTTTGATCACATCTCACAAAGACATTCGGGAAAGAAGGCTCCAGAACTGCTTCAGAAAGTGGCAAGAACAATGTGATGAATATGTTTAAAACGAGGAAACTATTTTGAGGGATAATTAATGGCAATGTGTCTTTTATCAAAATAAATTTTTAAGTTTAAACACATAGTATTTTTTGTATATATACACACACACCTTTGTGTAAAAAAACATACACACTGCTATAAACTAAAATTAAACTATAACTCTTTGCAAATAAAAATTGTGCTTTAGTCTCTTTGGCAAATAAATACTTATGATGTTGATTTTCAAAAAGTCTGAGAACAAAACATCACAAAACTTTAGAACTCTAATAATTAAAAAATTGGAAGAAGGGGCCGGGGATTTAGCTCAGTGGTTCTGGTGCCTGCCTCGCAAGCGCAAGGTCCCGAGTTCGATCTCCAGTACCAAAAAAAAAAAAGGAAGATCCATTGTTACATATTTATTTATTTATTTATATAACAAACTCTTCTAGAAGCAGCTAATGATTTCCTTGTTATGCCACTGTAACCAGACAGAATTTAATTAAACATTAGAGCCATGACACTGAAGCTATAGTATATGAAAGTAAAGCAAACTATATTTATAGAATATCTCATTATCATCTTTTAATGGGAGGATAATCAGCATTTATCCAAATTATATAAATCTTTAAAATATACTTGAAAGTGTAAGCAAAGTTATTCTGTAAAGACTCAGACAACATCAAAGTTGTCTCTCCTTTTTCACTGCTGTAACTGTGGCTGCAGCCACACGTGCTCTCTGTCTAACCGCTCAAGCCTGTCGGAGAGTAAAAGCAGCCACAGGCGAGAAATAAACGGATCGCTGTGGCTGTGCACTACACAGCCCCGCGACAGGCCAGCCCTGGCAGTAGACCATGTACTACTGGACGTATACGAGAAAGGTTACTAGAAGTAGCAGGATGTGGAGTAGAGAAAGGACACACATTTTCTTTCTCTTTTTCGACAGGGCCTCGACTACGTATCCCAGGCTGGGACTGGACTTGCAGCGAAACTCTTGCCTCAGCCTCTCGGTCTAGGATTATGGCCTTCACCATCAGCCTGGCTAATTTTATGTTTTTATAGAATAAAAGACACTATGATACTTTCAAGATCTTTATTGATTAAAGAAAACAATGTAACAAGTAGCTGTGATCTTACCTGATTAGGTATCCTCAGAGGGGGCCGGGGACCTCCAGGGTACCGAGGTGACATAAAAGGCTAATAAGGCAAAGCAAACAAACAAAACAGAAAAGAGCACATTGTAAAATTCAGATCTGAAAAGAAATGACTTAAAAAGCTTAGAATTAATACAAAACATAAATCAATTTACTTTGTGGCTGCTTTCAGTAGAAAGTTTTCCAAAGAAAATGTAGAAATCTCAAAGATACTAAAATAATTACAGTAAAATTAAAAAAACTCATTAAGATAATGACATCTAATTGAAAAAAAATAAGATTAAGAAAGAGGCAACTGAATCTCAATAAAGACTTCAGGAGAAGATCCACCGGCTATTTTATTATACAAGTTAAATTCTGAATATATACTTTTGACTAAATTTTAAAGTTTGATTATCAATTTTCTTTTCTAATTTCAAAATTGTCAAATTAATTATTTGTTTTGTAGATTTAACATGGCAAAGAAATTTCTTTTCCAGGGGTCACTTGCAGACAGAAAAAAGTTTTGGTTTTCTCTTATTATGGGTTTGTTGTGATTCAATATTGATTATAAATTTTAAAATTAAAATTTCTTCACACCCTTTGACCTAGCAGATTATGAAGTGCATATATTCAATAAGAGAAAGAATGGTCTCGTAGTGAAAGCCAAGTTTATTTATGTGGTCGGATTAGCAGGGGCTCCCCAAGCTGTGTGAAATCTTCTAGTCCAGACCCTTAACAGTGCCCCCAGTGTCTGTCCAGTGTTGAAAAGAAGGAGACTACTTTAATCACTTAGATTTGGGCATCAAATTATTATTTGTATTAAATTATTCAAAATCCCAATTTTATTATCTTTTTCTAAAATATCAAAACAATTATCATTTTGTTTAATTATACCTCAATACATAATACATCTGTGTAAAATTCCTCGGGCAAGACAAGTTTAGAGCACTGTACATTTATAATGTATCTCCTACAAATATTTTCAGAAAATTAGGCCTGTGGTTCATGACAATGCATGTTTTCCATGGCTGTTTTAAAAGAAATCCCTGAAAAATGAAAGTCGAAGAAATTTCTGCCGTTCAGTTTCTTCCATACACCATTCGGGGGATCTGACTCTGGAACGAAGAGAGCAGTCTGGCTCTTTCTCAACTGTTCCTGTCCCCAAGAGTTCACTTTATCAGGACAGAAACAATGGGTCATCCAGGGAGTACTGTGAGCTACAGCTGATAACATTTAATAGATTTTCCAATTTTAACAAAGTTGACCTAAAAGGTTTAGTTTTCATGTATTTGATTAAAGTTGTCTCTCTGAAAATGTACCCTAAATTGGATTAAGAAGTGAACTATATACTACCAGCGAGAAGCTGTTCCTCTTATTTTTTCTTTCCTTTTTAAGTCTTTCAATTTTATGTAAAAAAATCACTTCAATTCAAGACTCCCTCCTAAATTTTAATAACTAGATATTGGGGCATTGGTTTTGTAATGGCTGATTTCTTTTTACAACATGCTATTTTATGATATATTCACTAATTCAAAGGATAATACCAATTTACTGAAATATGGACAAATAAAAATAGGTTACTGATAATTCCTATATATAACAAAATCACTTCAAAATGGAATACAGGGTAGAAATTATGTGAAAATATTACCAAATACCAAATGTTGAGATAAATATTAAGTGTGCTATTTGAAATAGAGCATTAGAGATTTGTATGTCCATCTGAATGTAAAGCGGGGTCACAGGTCAACTTAACGGATTGCCTGAAGGGGAGCTGTTTGTTCTCCAGCAATGGCAAGGGGAATGCTGCCTGTATGTTCCCACCTGACCGGCAAGGGTGGAAGGAAGGCCAAGACATATCAGGCTAGAGAACCACAGGTCCCTAAAACAACTCACGGGTGAGAAGGTCTGCTTTTAGTCATTTATTTTTTCTTATATGTCTTTCTCAAATTTATGTTTTTGGCAAAAAAGGTTAAAAATTGAAGATCACTTATAAACTCTAGTTTGTATCTATACAATTAAAGCATAAAATGACAAAAATCTAGTAAATTTCGATAAAAATCTACTTTTATTTAAAATGGAAAGGCTGCTTTGGATAAAGTAGCTGAATATAAAATCAGTGCTGCTATAACATAAGCTCTTACTATTCAGACCGGTCCTCACCTGTATGAATTTAACTTCCAACTGAATAAGCTCGCGGAGCCAGCAACACAGAGCAATGGAGAGCATGTGTGCTACTATCTGGACTTCACTATTAGAAATCAATTTGCCTTCAAATGTAATTCAAAATATTAAAACAAATTTAAATTCTTTTATGCTAAAATGTTAATCTGTCCAGAGACTATCAGCTGATAACGCACATTTTATCTGCGGGCCACCACACTTCCACTCCCTGAACAGTATCACTAGCTTGGTCTCCAAAAGTGTGCTTCCTCTCTGCATTGGGGACGATGTTTATTTTTGTTTGTTTGTTTGTTTTCAATAGTTAGGGCAACAAATATTTTGAAAAATTATTCATTTATAATGTGTACAGAAAAGACATTTGAGGGGGAGTTGAAGCCTGGGTTCTAGGTTTTATACCACTGCTGATTAGTAGAGTGGCCTTGAGCTAATACAATGAGTGACCTTTTAGTTTTCTCACCCTTCAGATGGTGAAGTGCACTCAGGTGACTCCTGAAGTCCTTACAGAACAGCAGTCAGTTGGGAAGGTGGGTGAAATTGGCTCCCTCAACAAATGTTTACTAAACATCCAGAGACCCTGTTCTGGGTGACTGGATACCAGGGTTCCCAGGCTTGTAATTAAGAGGAGAAACAACCTTCTGGGAACATTGTTCTCCACATCAGCTCACTAATCTAGAGCAAACAGAATGTTCCGTTCACCAAATGGCAAATTATTGACGAAAGTCCAAAGAAAATAAGATTCCAATCTGGAGCCTTCCTGCAGAAGTCCTATCGCATACTCCTCCCTGGTAGAACATGGAGTGCTTGCCTGACTGAAAACCAAGGCTGCGCTTTGCAAGCGTTTCCAACTGAGGCAGAGCTTACCAGGTAAGATGAACTGGGCAGCACGAGGAAACTACATTCACACAAATTCCTGTTTCCACACATTTCAGCTGCATGCTATGCTCTGGACTGAATGTCTGTGTCCCCACAAAATCCTGTGTTGAACTCTAACCCGCCGTGTGATGGTATTTGGAGGTGGAGCCTTTGGAAGTAGTTAGGTCACAAAAGGAATGTCTTCAGGAATGGGATTAGGAGATACACATATGTACACAGATGGGCACGAAAGATGATCTCTCCACCTCTCTGCCTCTGTGGCAGTGCACATACCAAGGTCTGCAGACCAGGAAGCCGGCCCTCACCAGGAAGGAACTCAAGCTGATGATGGTGCCGTGCCCTTGAGCTTTGTAACCTTTAGAATTTGGATGAGTATGTTTCTACCCTATAATACCAGTCTATGGTATTTTTATTATAGTGGCCTGCCTAAGGCGCCCTAGAAGGAATGAGATAATGTAAAGGGGGAAGGAATAAAAAATATATACCATCAGAAAATCAGTAAATATTTGATGACAAAATGAAAGGAAAAATACTGTAACAGAAACACAAACAAGTGTCCAGTTCACTTCCTCCAAGCAGTCTTTTAGAGAAAAAATTACACCACTTAGAATTATAATTTATTTCAGAATGAGTCATTAAATTTTAAAAGATTTTTATTTTCCATTATATCTAGAAATTATTCATGGAATTTTAAACTTCTGCTTTCCTAGAAGGGAGATTTTTTTCCTTTATTCCGTGCTGTTTCTGCTAGTGAAGGTAATAGCTTCCGTCTTCTTCTTGATCTTTCCTAAGGCCTTTGTATTTCATTCCAATTCCTAAGAATTAGACAGAGCTGGCTCGCTCTCTTCCCTTCCACTAACTGAAGATCGAGTTCTCAGTCCTGTTCTTCTCTGCTCTGAGGGTCCCACATCATTCAGTGGAATTCTTTTACAAATAACTCACTGGCAGTGAAATTACAGTGATAGGAAACATTTTACATTAAACATTTCAGTTAAGACATATATGATAAAACCGCACATCTTAAATGATATATTGTTTGAAGGTTAATTTTGTTAATATTTTCTAAAAGTCTGCATAGTTTCTAAAAGTATATTAATATGATCCATCTTTTCTTCTTCTCTTTTCTTCAAGATCACTCTGTGTTCTCCTTTCTCTGCCAAATACATTTCTATTAATCCCCCAAGTATGAGTTTAAATGTCACTTTCTCTGTGAAGACTCTCCATAGGGTCCTTTCCCTCTAATTCTTTGGTGTTTTCTTTATATGATTTATGAGGGAGGATTTAGTATGCTATAGAATAGTAAGTATTTGATAGGAAGGACACTCACTTCAGAGGAAAAAACACAAAACAATATTAGAGTAGGGAATTAACTTAACGTCAAGGTAATTAACCTGTACACTAATGCTAGCATTCCCTAGAATTTCTAATATTGATGTAGTAACATATATATCAGCTTTTAACTTATTTTGACTATTTTAACTTGGCTTTAGAAATTCTATAAATCTTGGTCCTGACATATAATGTGATAATAAAGACAATTTTAAATAATGAAAAAGTATAAAAAATTCTTTCTTTAAAATGCCAATCACTTAAATATGTTTTATATCCATATTTTAATTTATGAGCACACTTTAGAAGAAAGCAATGATGAAAAGAGTTATCAGTGATAATTCTTTAGAATAGAGAGAAAGAATATTTAGAATAGTTTATACTTTGGAAAACTTAGAAGCCCAAGATAATTCTGAAACATACAATTACATAGGACTTCTCTAATTTAAAGTAATTTTGCACTTTTTTGAGGACAAAGTTATTCTTGTGAAATTTGCTTCCCGAGTTTAAAAAAGAAAACTTGAGTGACTGCAATATAAAATTAACAACTTTAAGAAAATAAAAACTTAAAACAATTTAGGAAATGACCATTCACTTAATAAATGACTTTATACTTTATGAAATGACTCACTTGACATTTTACAAGTTGTTACTCATTTATAGTAAAATGTGACT